AAAGTTAAGCGTTTTCATTTTGATAAGCGGTGGATTGAAAAGGATGGTTTTTTGGAGGTTGTGACTAAAGCTTGGTCCCTACCTGTCTGGGGCACTCCTTTTTTTCAAATTGAAAGAGAAGGTTAGAAACACCAGAGCTGCCTTGCTTCTTTGGAGTTCAAATTTTCACTCCCAAAATCAGCTTAAAATAACTGCCCTAACTCAGAAGCTCGAAGCATTGAGAGATATGCAGCCTATCTCTACCTGGGAGGAGTGGAATTCTATCAGACTGGAATTGGATCAGGCACACCTTTCTGAGGAACTCTACTGGCAGCAAAAAACTAGATTAAACTGGCTTAAGTTTGGAGATTGCAATTCGAAATTCTTCCATGCCTACACTCTCCATAGAAGGAAGCAGAATGCCATTTCAAGGCTAATCACAAACAGCGGAGAAGAACTTACCTCTAGACAGGCTATTCATTCTCACATCTCTGAGTTTTACTCTTCTCTCTTCTTTACTGAAGGCTCTTGGGGTGGAGATTCCATTCTTCACTTAATTCCTCGGTCCATTACAGAGGATATGAACACATCCTTGTTGCAGCCTGTGGATGAAGAAGAGATCAAGTCAGTTATTTTTAGCCTTCCTCCTGACAAGGCTCCGGGTGAAGACGGTATGAGTGCCTTTTTCTATCAGCATCTTTGGTCTTTGATCAATAAGGACTTTGTTTCTGCTATCTCTAGCTTTTTTAATTCAGGCCAAATTTTGCAATACTGGAATCACACTATTTTGTCCCTTATCCCTAAATGTGCATCTCCAGATTCTTTAAGTCAATTTCGTCCTATCAGTTTGTGCTCTGTTGTTTATAAGGTGATTTCCAAAATTCTTGCTCAGAGGCTGCAATCATGCTTGAGTGGTTGTATCAGTATTCAGCAATCTGCATTTATAAAGGGCAGGAACTTGCTTGATAATGTAATTGTGGCCCAGGAGGCATTTCATTTCTTGAATAGGCACTCCTCAGGCAAAAACTTCTTTATGGCTTTAAAGCTTGACCTTATGAAGGCTTTTGATAGGGTTGAATGGCTGAGTATTAAGAAAATAATGGTGCAGATGGGTTTTCATTTGAATTTTATCAAATTAATCATGGCTTGCATATCTACATCCTCTATCTCTTTCAAAGTCAATGGTGAAGTCAGTGGATATATCAATCCATCTCGAGGAATTAGGCAAGGGGACCCCATCTCCCCTTACATGTTTCTAATCACTTCTGAGATTTTATCTGCTCTCATCCTGGATGCTTGTTCCTCTGGACTTCTGAAGGGCTTAAAATTGTCTCACAACGGTCCAACATTATCACACCTCTTATTTGCTGATGATTCACTGTTTTTTTGCAAGGCTGGGATTGATCAAGCCCACATTTTGCTGGATCTGTTGAATAAATATAAGCTATTTACTGGCCAATCTGTTAATCTTCAGAAGTCTGCCATCTTCTTTAGTAGGAACACCCCTACCTATCTTCAGCAAAGTATTTGTACTGCTCTCCATGGTATTCAATCTCACAGGTCCACCAGATATTTGGGTTTGCCTCTGGGCATTGGCCGGTCAAAAAAAGAAGTCTTTGCTTATCTCCTGGATTCTGTTCAAAGTAAGCTGCAGGGTTGGAAATCTAAACTACTTTCTTCCGCTGGGAAGATTGTTTTGTTAAAAGCTGTATTACAGGCATTACCAATTTTCACTATGTCTTGCTTTAAACTGCCTGTCTGTATTTGTGCTGCAATCTCTAGCCTATGTGCTAAATTTTGGTGGAATACTAGTTCTGATGATGATTTCAGGGGAATTCACTGGAAAAGCTGGGCTAAACTCTCAATTCCTAAACAGGCTGGTGGTCTAGGCTTGCTGGATATTAAACTCTTCAATGAAGCCCTTATTTGCAAACAACTTTGGAGAATTGTTAGTCAGCCTGACCTTTTGGTGAGTAAGGTTTTAAAGGATAGGTACTTTCCTAATTCCTCAATTTTCCATGCTACTAAACCTAAGAATTCTTCTTGGCTATGGAACTGCTGGCTTGAAGTGCTTCCTTTATTTTCAAAATGCCTGAAAACTGAGATCAGAAATGCGGCAACAACTAGAATTTCAGACCACAACTGGGTTCCTAATCTACCCAAGCCTTCTCCTGTTTTAATTGAGCTTGCTAGAGATCATCTAATCTTTGTTAAAGACTTAATGTTTCCTGATGGCTCAGGATGGAATGCTTGGTTAATTAAACAAGTCTTTAGCAATGAGGACAGTTCAACCATTTTGAATATTAAAACTGTGAGAGTTGATAAACCTGACAGGCTGTACTGGGCCTTGGATAGCAAAGGTAAATTCACAGTCTCTAGTACTTATGCACATTTGGTGGCTAAAAAATGTAGAGCTTTGGATCTGCCTGAATGTAGTGTCTCTCCCAGTCCTTGGGCCTCAACTCTGAAAAGATTCTGGTCTCTGAAAGTGATGATGAAAGTAAAAATTTTTATTTGGAAATGTTTTTCTGGGGCCTTACCTGTTCTTGTGAAGCTGAAAAGCAGGGGTCTTGACATTGATGTGATTTGTAGAAGCTGTGGAGAGTCACCTGAAACAATTGTGCATGTACTGTTACAATGTCCAAGAGCATGTTCTGTTTGGGACATTGCCCCTGTTTCTTGGCCACAACTTTCCCATTTTAGAGGATCTTTCAGATCATGGTGGCTTGAAGTGTGCAGCATAAACCATTCAGAGATTGCCGAAGACCGAATTCAACTCTCTACCTATCTTCTTTGGTGGCTCTGGAAGACACGAAACCAATGGATCTTTCAGCATGCTTCTCCTCCACCTCACATAGTCATCAAAGCTGCCATGTCTGACTGGTTGGGCTTTTCTTCTGCTGCAGCTTGTAGCTTCTATTAATTCTTTGCTTTTCTTGTTTAGTTTGGTGTTGTTTATTAGGGTAGTTGATGGCTAGGATTTGTGGCAGTGGTACATCATCTGCTCTTTTCTCCTTTTCTCTTTTTTCCTTGTTTGAGGTTCTAGACCATCTTTAGATGTGTCTCTCATGTTGTATTTCTTGGGATTATGTACTCTTTTCGTTCGTTTCAGTAATAGTATCTCTATCGTTTTGGAAAAAAAAAAACAAAAATCAATTTCACAATAAACCATATTTATCTATATACCTTATCTTAACTCACTTTCAAACATTTTATCTAAGATTGAGCTTGAACATTATTATATTTTTTTTCATAAGTGGCTTTCTTCTATTGTCAATCAATTTCACAATAAACCATATTTATCTATATACCTTAACTTAACTCACTTTCAAACATTTTATCCATGATTGAGCTTGGACATTATTATATTTTTTTTAATAAGTGGCTTTCTTCTATTGTCAATCAATTTCACAATAAACCATATTTATCTATATACCTTATCTTAACTCACTTTCAAACATTTTATCTAAGATTGAGCTTGAACATTATTATATTTTTTTTTATTAAGTGGCTTTCTTCTATTGTCAATTAATTTCACAATAAACCATATTTATCTATATACCTTAACTCACTT